TATATACATATGCACATATATAATATATATACATACGCACACATATACATATATAATATATATACATACGCACATATATACATATGCACATATATAATATATATACATATGCACATATATACATATGCACATATATAATATATATACATATGCACATATATATACATATGCACATATATAATATATATACATATGCACATATATTATATACATATGCACATATATATATACATATGCACATATATTATATACATATGCACATATATATACATATGCACATATATATACATATGCACATATATTATATACATATGCACATATATACATATGCACATATATACATATGCACATATGTAAATATGCACATATATACATATATACATATGCACATATATACATATGCACATATATACATATGCACATACATAATATATATACATACGCACATATATAATATATATACATACATATGCACATACATAATATATATGCATACGCACATATATACATATGCACATATATAATATATATACATATGCACATATATAATATATATACATATGCACATATATAATATATATACATATGCACATATATAATATATATACATACGCACACATATAATATATATACATACGCACACATATACTAATATATACATACGCACACATATACTATATATACATACGCACACATATACATATATAATATATATACATACGCACATATATACATATGCACATATATAATATATATACATATGCACATATATACATATGCACATATATAATATATATACATATGCACATATATAATATATATACATATGCACATATATAATATATATACATATGCACATATATATACATATGCACATATATATACATATGCACATATATATACATATGCACATATATATACATATGCACATATATATATATATGCACATATATAATATATATACATATGCACATATATATACATATGCACATATATATACATATGCACATATATATATACATATGCACATATATATATACATATGCACATATATTATATACATATGCACATATATACATATGCGCATATATACATATGCGCATATATACATACATATGCGCATATATACATATGCACATATGCGCATATATACATATGCACATATATACATACGCGCATATATAAATACGCGCATATATACATACGCGCATATATACATACGCGCATATATACATACGCACACATATATACATACGCACACATATATACATACGCACACATATATACATACGCACACATATATACATACGCACACAAATATACATACGCACATACAGTGGGGAGAACAAGTATTTGATACACTGTTGATTTTTCAGGTTTTCCCACTTGCAAAGCTTGTAGATGACTGTAATTTTTATCATAGGTACTCTTCAACTGTGAGTGATGGAATCTAAAACAAAAATCCAGAAAAATACAATGTATGATTTTTAAATAATTAATTTCCATTTTATTGTGTGAAATAAGTATTTGAT